CACGAACAGCTTGTAACACTCCAAAGAGAAAGGAAAACTTGAAATCGCATCATATGACCCCTTTAAAACGCATTTTAACCCGTTTAATCCCAAATTTCTCCCAGACATGAAAATATCCAAATGATGCGTTAAATAAACAAAACCACTGGTAAATAAAGCGCACCTTAGTATCGATATTTTTGTTTGAGTATCGATACTTTCGATACTCACGTCAGTATCGATATATCGATACTTCGGATCGATACGCCCATCCCTATGGTGCGGTCGGATTTTGAGACTCGAATGTTTTCAGTCTCTTCACTAATAATTTGTTTAGGGACCTTACTACGCCATTCCGCCAGTCGTTTAGCGTTTCTGTTGTAAAATGGTTACTTACATCTTGCCTTACACTCTTTCACTATTAAAACTGAAGCTTGACGTTAAACTTCATGTTTGGCTTCTGTGAACAGTAAAGCTCGCCTGCTTTGATTTGATTGTCTCATTCATTTTGACATTGACGTGCTTAATGAGGCAGACCACCCTAAAAATGTAATTTTCAGAACGTTTTGTCGTCCTAACAACAAAGGAATTTTGGAGTAGACCTGTCCCCATTGGTGTCAATGGTAGTTATGGCCCTACTATCGAGAGACTCCAGAAAGCCATCATAAGAATTTTACCCAAATTTGTCAAAAAACTATGAATAGGCGGTACTTGAATCCGATTGGCTCATCCTTTAGTCAGTCTTTAAAGACAGAACAGCGAAAAAATGAGCCAGTTCACTCAAAAGAATCATTAAAAACGAATTCCTTCACAAACAAAACACCCACTAGAAGAAATTCACATTCAGACACTTTAATAGCATTCAGAAACTAATGACATCCTGCAAAGGGCCAATACGCCCCTAAAACAAGGCTGTTGTTTAAAATGAATGCATACACATTAAAGCTGTTTTTCTAAAATAAGTTGAGACTACACAAACAACCTTTAAACAACGTATTTACAAGAAGAGAGAAAACCAGAAGTGAGAGTAAAAAAATTCAGTAACAATAGCGTAATTTGAATACACCACAAACATTCTCAAACCCATGTCATAAACCAGCCAGTATCAAAACAGGAAGTTGTTCCCAATTGAGGTCAGTGTTCACCACATGTATAATAACCTCTCACCCCATTATCACACCCAGGAATACAAACTTTGACCTTGTATCCTTTTAAAATAGTCATGATATAAACATTAGTTTCCACTTATTTTCAGATGTCATGGATGATGTGATCATTGAACAGGGTGCCATTCTACTAAGAGGGTAAACTCACGTAATCCTCAATTTTATATAGGTTGTCTATGTGTTACATTTTTATGCATGAATTTGTGTGAATGAGTGCATCTCTCCACTGTTACTGTGCTTTGGTTTCACATGAAGGTATGTTATTGAACGAGTTACTGTAGAGGATCCATCTATGCATGTGAGCCATGAGGATCTAGGAGGACGACCTCAAGAAGCAGATGATCCTCAAATCAAAGAGGTTGTAGATCAACTTTTGAAGATAGCCGATGACCTCAACAAGAATGCTGAACTTCAACAGTATGTTTTTAATTTTATTTCAGCTTACTTGTCTTTTTATAAATATGAGGTTTTGTGATGTTCAAAAGGACACAACTAAAGCGTCTAATCTAGTGGTTCTCAATCTTTTTGACTTGAAGGCCTCCCATTTTCCAACAAAATATTCAAAAGCTTCTCATATAAGCTGTTATATTTTTTTCCTGTATATTCTGTTGTAATTATGACAAAGCTGCTTGTTTTCAACTTTTTTTAATTAACAGAAGCTCACTGTGTCAATATATTAAATTAATTAACCACAATTATTTTAGTGATTTCAGAGGTAGTTCCTATGTGTTCTTTTACTAGAACAACAGATGTTGATATTTCTAAAAAAATATATATTTAAAATATTTAGTTAACAGCTTGTTTTTATGTGTGTTGATTAGCATTTTATTTTTTTAAATAATTAACATTTAAGTTGATTTTAAAATAACTATAATTTTCATCATTTTAATTCATCTTATGGCCCCCTTATAAGTTTGCCCTCTAAACTTATTATAATGACTACCTAATATAATTAGTTATTTTGAACACAAAGCATTTTCTCTTAAAAGAGATCAGTCTGATGAATTTTTTTTTTGTTGGTGATAACTGTATTTTTATTTTATTTATTTATTTTTGTGTGAAATAGAAACTGAAATAGTCAATGTTTTTTAATAGTTTACTTAAGATTTTATTTAAAGATGCATTGTCATTTTTTTATGTTGCACATTTGTCTGGGAGGGTTACTCCACCCCAAAATGAAAATTTTGTCATTAATCGCTTACCCCCATGTCGTTCTAGACCCGTAAAAGCTTCGTTCGTTTTCGGAACACAATTTAAGATATTTTGGATGAAAACCAGGAGGCTTGTGACTGTCCGATTGACTGCCAAGTAAATTACACTGTCAAGGTCCAGAAAAGTATGAAAGACATCGTCAGAATAGTCCATCTGCCATCAGTGGTTCAACCGTAACGTTATGAAGCTTGAAGACCTTGACAGTGTAATTTACTTGGCAGTCAATCGAACAGTCACAAGCCTCCCGGTTTTCATCCAAAATATCTTAAAGGGGTCCTATTATGCTCTTTTACAAAGTCTTGATTTTGTTTTGGCGGTGTACTAGAACATGCTTTCATGCTTGGTGGTTCGAAAAACGCATTATTTTTCACATAATTTACATTATTAAAGTAC